TTCGGGAAGGGCAGCTGGGCAGGTCGGCCGCGGCGCGCGCGGAGGACGCCCTCTTCGCGCTTATAAGCCGTATTGTCTTTACAAAATTATTTTTTTGTAAAGACAACAAATTAATCAACACTATTTTCAATCATAAATCAAGCGAAGCGAACGGAGCATGGAAGTGAAAACCCAGCCATCCAGGGGGTTGCCGGGGCAACAACAAGAAGCCGGAGTCGCAACGACAGCGTGAGGACTGGTGAAGTAGGCCAATGACCGTGCTGACCTGGCGGAGATATAGCAGCAGCAAGCTCTTCGAGACCAGATCGGAAATACTGGGGGCGCCGCGGGCGGGCGCCCGAAACGGGAGAAAAAGAAAAATCACAGCAGGTCGTCCGGCATCGGTGTCTCCGCCACCGGCAGGAGACGAAAAGAAAGCGAGGCAAAGCAGCGGAGGCGCACTTGAACAGCCTGTCGCCCTGTTGTTCGCTCGTCGTTTCGGCCAGTAAGCCAATAATATTTTTCTATCATAATAAATTAGCATTAGTCAGACTTATCAGTCCAGAACCAACCAACAGATCGAAAATCTCCGACCAAAGGGTCTGTTCGCTTGGAGGAATTTGGATGGTTTGAAGGAATTTGTGCGAGAAAAACACTATTCCGGTTGAAAAAAAGTAATGGATCAAGCCGATTTTAAGAGCACGCGAATGGGTCCAAAATATGCTCGGCGTGGCTCGATTTCGGCGCCCGTGGACATGGTACATGCCAAACGCCCGGTGTTGCTTTCCGAGCGCGTCCGGAAGAACTCACTCCTAGTCCTATTGTGTACTACCTTCACCGCAAAAAGAATACAACTATGGAATATGGATTACGTGTCACGAAAAAATATTCATACGGATCAAATTTTCAGTGAATAATATTCAAATTTATAATTCTAAATTAATTTATTATAAAATATATATTTCGTAATTAATCTAATGATATTTATTTAGTATTATAAACATTGATCTTTTTTATCTATAATCGGTAAAATTTAAGATACTGAATGACATTGTGCTAGAATTGCATTGAGGTTGGAGTGAGTAGTTCGGTTCTTCCATCTCCGTTTCTCTATGGAGTCCACAGTCCACAGACGTGTGTGCCAAGGGGCGAGGGCGGCACAGACTTGTGCTTCGACGGCTGCGGGTGGCGCACCATTCAGGTGACGATTCCACGCGGAAAAGGTGCAAAATCACGATGCCTGCGCCTGAAACGTTTGGATGCGACGGACCAGTGCAAGGTTTTAACAAGTTTTCGATCGTTTCGTCCTGTCATAGGCCACACCCGATACCAAATGAAGGGCATAATAAACAGCTAAGTATGATGGGATCGATGGAGTGAGGAGCACCAGCAGATCGCGCTACCTAGGAGTAGTATTGTTGTAAGCTCCGGCGTAATATGTGCGCTATTTCACGTAATTGAAAAAGAATCGCTGATAGTTACTCCAAACGCCGTTCTTTTGTGCCTGCTACCACTACCGAACTCCAGCCCGGCCTGTTCTTTTCGTGCGGACAAAAGAGCTTCAACGACAGCAGGAGCTACCGAGCTTGCCGTCGCTGCTTTTTCTGAGATTTTGATGAGCGGCCAGAATATACGAATCGGTTTTTGGTTTCTTCGGGCGTCGGAGACGCCGTCCGCCGTCCCTTGCGTGGACGCCAACGATGCAGGCAACCTTGTTGCAGCAGCCAGTAACGATCGTCACGCACGTCGCACTATATATTTGCGATAGTGACAGCGATCGATTCATCAGCGACGACGGATTATATTGGCGCTTTCTTTTTCTTTTTCTTTTTCTTTTTCTTATTCTTTTTCCTTGTATTAGAGATAGAATGAAGTTGAGACCATTGGAGCATCATTCAGAAGACTAGTATTATACACGTACAAGGTTTGATCGATGAGTACATTGGAGAACTACGATTGTTGTGTATATACAAAATCCCAGTGGTAATCGCGAGGAGACCAATCTTGTCAGCTTGCTGCGCTACTGGCTACTGCTACTGACCGCTGCCTGGCTTTATTGATTACTACTCCGTCGATCTCCTTCATGGCCCCCATGTGTGTTGAAGCAAGATGAATCCAATAGACTCGGATTTATATATGCATAAGTATACATCTATATATAATTAATTATAATACTGAGATCCAGCGTGTCCGCCATATACATCTATATATAAGTCACAACATCTCGGTGCAGCTGTGAATAGGCCCCGTTCGGCTGACCTTAAAAACGGCACTATTCAGCTTGTTTTTTCAGCTGAAACAGTGTTTTTCTCTCACAACAATTTCAGCCATAACTGTGTTTTTCAGTCAATTTCAGCCAAACGAACGGCCTGAAGGTTTGCAATTTGCATGCATGTATATATACGGGCTGAAGGCTAATGACTTGCGTGTTCCTATTTTCGGATTCAGATCGGCAGATTATTACCTAGATCAGCTACTGGGAACCCATGTACATGTTGCCATGTTCAACGCCATCAAGCCTTCAGTTCCATGTCGATCTGGGCCGGTCGTCGCCTCCATAGAGAGCGATGAGAGACGGCAGAGCCAGAGGTCATGCGAATACTGCTAAAAAGCAGAGCAGGTGTGACCGAACGAAATGAATTGAATGGCGATGAATGCATTGCATGTGCCACATAACCGTAAAGCTGGCCAGGCCGGCACACCGAGTACCACGATTGATCTGACGATGGAGGACGGCGCGGTGCTGTTGTGGACAGTTGTGGACACAGCCACACAGGCCAGCCCTCTTTCACTCCACTCTGGTGTACTCCGACGTGTAAGCCCGGCACACTCTGCATCTGCATGCAACATGCATTCCGACCGCCGCTTCGCACTGCGGCTCGCTGCGCGCTACATACCTGCCTGGCTACCTCTCCCTCCAAGCGCCGGGGGCGGTGGCCGGTGGCCCCAGAGGCCAGAGCGCACAGCCGCACATGTGCGAATGCATGCGTCGCACGGTGGCGGACGCTGGGGAGTGCAGAGCGCATGCAGCCGCAGGCAGGCAGGCAGGCGCGCATGGGGAGCCCGGGCGGGCCGGTGGTGCCCTGCATGCATCGCTCGTCCCTCCTGGCATCTGCTTCGTGGGGGCTTGCCCTCGGCGTGGCTGCGCCGCCGCTCTGCGTGCCGCCACGTGCCAACTGGCTATGGCCCTACTGCCACCTCCTGCGCTCGTGTCGTCGTTACTACCTGCATCCCTGAATAAATAGATTTCTAAAATTATTTTAAGTCAAATTTTCTAAACTTTGAATAAATTTCTATAATAGAGCTTTAAAATGGATCAAATCAGTATCATTAGATTTATCATAGAATATATTTTTATAAGATGTTTATTTTATATATAGATGTTACTTTTTCTATAAAGTTAGTCAAATTTAAAAAAAATTAACACGGATTTTAGAAATTTATTTATTTAGGGACGGATTTTAGACGTTGTAACCCCGGTACCCAGACTCATGGTAATCTCATTACTTGTCGCATTTTACCGTTCCTCTATTGATGTCCACAGTCACAGCTGATTCAGGAACAATAATGTTCAGGGTATCCCTTGGATGATTGATTTGTCAGATCCTGCCAACAACATTGAGCCCGAACCCAACACAAATGTCGTGACGTTGACCATGACGCGCCCACGACAGCCGCATGGCCCGTCGAGGTCTCTCTCTCACCGAAATTGACCAGGCGCACGCCTGGCAGTAACCTGCATCTACCGATCCTTCCTAACATCTCACCAGTTTTCAGGATCCCCTCCCCTCCAATCTGACCCAGCCAATTCCAGTACAATTTGACCCAACCATGCGACACGGGCCACATGTGCCAGATTCCATAAGGTAATATTCCCATTTTTGTTTTCGGATCTAGCCATGAATTCTCGATCAACTCTAGCGGATACTTCCTAAAGAGTCTTTTTCAGCTCATGTTGAACCTAGAAATGAACAAGTGCATCGGAACAGTCGCCGGCTCATCCCCGATGATGACAAACTGCTTTTGGTCTAAAAATGATGGCAAACTGAGCATTCAAAAAACGACGTCAAGAGGCTGCTGCTTTGTACCGGCTACGGACAGGGAAAAAGCTAGCGTACCATGGCCTCAGCTGCCCATTGCAACGAGGAAGAAAAACGAGACGGGACTGAGTACAAAAAGGCAAGCCCGAGGACAGAATCCCTGGGCCTGGAGCATTGCCTACAAATCCAATTAGTCAATGAAGCTGGCATCGAGGAGACGAGGACCAACGATAAAAGCTTGCGATGGATGAATCATGCACGAATGCCAGGAATGCAATACCAACAACTTTACAAATAATAAAGGTAGCAGGACAAGTGTACTATTGCAATCAATATATCAACTGGCATGTCACATGTTGTGCTGCCAGCAAATACATATACCTTTTTTTTTCCTTCTCCAAAATATATTCCGCTAATTGATACGGGTCCGTATCCTTTTGAAACTCGATAGAATTGAATACTAATCGCCGGGCCTCTTCGAACCTGTCTGCTGTGGATACTGAACAAGTCCAAGATACGGGCCTCACATAAAATGAAGCAGTCGTGGGTGAAGACATGACTACAGAATCCGGTTCTTCGTAAGAAACTCCTCAACTTTAGGAGAAAAAAAAAACATGCCAATCTCATCAATAGCTACAACTTAGCGATCTCAAATCATAAAAAACCTCAACACTGAAAATTTGTAGATCTCATCGATAGCTACAACTTTAATATAAAAACTATTTTCATTGCGATGACAAGTGTACTATTGCAATGAAAATATCAACTGGCATGTCACATGTGGTGCTGCCAGCAAATACATATCTTCTTTTTTTCCTTCCCCAAATATATTCTACTGATTGATATTGTTTCGTATCCATTTGAAAACTTGATAGAACTGAATACTAATCGTTGGGCCTGTTTGAAAATGTCTGCTGTGGATACCGAACCGGTCAAGATTCGGCTTCAGATAAAATGAAGCAGTCATGGTTGAAGTCATGACTACAGAATCCGGCCCGTCTTGAGAAACTCCTGATGAACTTTAGCAAAAGGAAAACAATATGCTATTCTCCATGGCCCAGCACTAACGTGCAGCAATGTGGAAGCACAGCGTTTACCAAGCTGAGAGAAGCACTGGTCAAATTCTGCTGAATTTGGATCACCACGGTTCGAAGACCGGAGCCCAGGAACATTGCTAAGGCCCATCTTCCGTAGAATGAGTTTGGGAATGGCTGGCGGGACTGCAAGCCCCATGCTCTGGCTGAACTCTTCAGCCAGCCTCACAAGTCTGGCCTTGTCTCGGCTGATGGCCTTGTTTGAGTTGTAGTACCCCAGCCATGCCTGGTAGGCTGATTCCTTGCTCTTCATCTCCACTCTTCTGACTGCGTCATTGACCTATGAAAACATAAAGGCACCAGGTTTCTTAATCTTTACAGGCCAAACTTGACTTCAGATTTCTTGGGCAGCCAAGATAAGACCTTTTTTTTAACAAAGTTTGCACTGAGATTAACCAAGCTAAATGGGAAGATAGAAGACAAGCACTAATTTCATACTACTTACTGCTGCCTGAATGCTTGAATCAACCGAAGGTGTTGCAGCCTCTGATATTGACAAATCATTAACTGTACTAAGAAAATGCATTTCCCAGGGAGCCAATAGTAAGATGCCTTGCCCTTCCTTGCCTTTCCGTCCAGTCCGTCCGAGTCTATGTATATACTGTTCTCTATCAGCTGGCAGACCAACCTACATGAGCAAATAAATTTCTTGATGAATCCATGTCCTTTTCTTTTTTTTTCTTTTTGGCAAGAGAAACAATTATATCACCCACCTGTATGACAAGTGTGACATCAGGATAATCTACACCACGGGCAGATACGTCGGAGCTGACTAATATAAGACCCTTTGATTTCCTGAATTCATCTGAGACCTTAGTTCTTGCAGATTGCGACTTTCTGGAATGAATCTCTCTTATATTCAGTTTTAGCTGGGAAAGTACCTCAGCGACAAGTTTTGTAACCATTGCAGTAGTACAGAATACTATCACCTGCAAAATAGTATTGTCAATGACACACTGCCACACCAGATTCCTCAAGGCATAATCATGCAATTACTTGGTGAGGTAACTTACTTTGTATTCTGCATCATCCGCAATATGCTTCTTCAATACATCATACAATATGGGGAAGTGCAGATCAAGAGGTGCAATCATGTACGTCTGGTTTACCTGATGCATCAGCGTTAATTAATGTAAGGTTACATTGTAAGGCATTCAAAAGCTATGAAATTTTACCGACACAGCTCATGAAAATGGCATACTCAAACCTGGGCATGTGTCTCCTCATCGCCCTCTTGAACAGTGTTAATGAAATCATAATCCCTTCTCATTGCAAGGTGAGAAATTTGGCGGACCTAACAGTAATGGTTCCCTTTTAAAATGATCTGATCATATAAGGTACAAAAAGGGACTAGTGAATTAATGACAAAAGGAGATACCTCTTCTGAAACAGTAGCAGAAAACAGCAGTGTCTGCCTCTCTTTAGGGATGAAAGAAATTATTTTCTCAATGTCTCTTCTGAATCCCATATCCAACAGGCGGTCAGCCTCATCAAGAACAAGAACCTTCACACCTTTAATTCGGGTGGAGAATCCAGGCGTGTTCTCAAGATGATCCTTAAGCCTTCCAGGGGTAGCAACAAGAATCTAATTTAAAAGTACCAGAGTATTAGTGCATGCGTTGCACCTAGATATGTATGCACTGTGCTACTGTGATTCATGGGTACAACCTGACATGGGTTAGCTTGCATGCTCCGTTGCTCTTGAGGCAACCGTGTGCCACCTATTACAACCTGCACACCCAGTGAGCGATGATACTTGAGAAGCTTCCTGGCCTCAGCAGCCACTTGGTTTGCAAGCTCCCTGGTAGGGCACATCACCAGCAAATTTATAGAAGTTGATCGAGGTAATGCAGAGAGAACTTCGATGGCTGGAAGCTAAAAGAAATTAGAGCTCAGTCACATGGGTTAATCCTGTAGTTGTATCACTGCAATAGTTGAGAAAACCGCTATAACAGTCAAATTAATCAGTTGGGCTGAAGGCAAGGAGTACCAAAAAGGCAACTGTTTTTCCTGTTCCTGTCTTTGCTTTTGCAAGAACATCCTTTCCTGCAGGAAAAAGCAACCAAATGTTACTTTAGGGGTGATGAGGACATCACTTCTACAGATACAACCACACCACTTACAGCTATAGTACCATTCATTCCACCACTTGAAGCTAGGCCAGCAATTCACAAATTTTACACAAGAAGAGATCGAAATGTGCTCCTAATCAGGAACCTTGGTGTTGAAGATAAAGATATTTGAGCTGATATTTTGTGCTGTATTTGTGGCTGTCCACAGGCAGTCACCACTTGCAGCCAGCTAGAGTATAGTAGGCTAAACTATTTGTTTGTTACTTGTTAGCTGTCCAGATTCATGGAACAACCTCCATATTAACAGCAGTAATAGAATTAGCTGTTGCCAGTACATTGCAGTAGCATGCACTGTAGCAGCAGCCATTTGGGCTATAAAAGGAGGGGTACCTCCATATGTAAGAGTTGGGTTTTGTTTTAGTTCAGTTCAGTTCCTTTGGAAAGTACTGCTTGTGTTGTCTCGTGTCGGTTAGACCAACAGACCAACCTCTACTCAAAGCCCCATCTTAATATTTCACTACATACTTGCAATTTCAGATTGCTTGCACCTTGTTCTTGCTGGTTTTCTTCCATTTCTTGCAGGAACAGACCCTAGTGGTCATGTCAGCTTGGTTTTGTCTAGGCTGATAACATCTCAAGGGTTGGTTCAACGGTTGCTAGGCTATTGGAACCTCTTGGCCAGTAGCCTGGAACATGTGGGTCACCCTCACAATTGGAAGGCATCTCATCTCACCGAAGGTTGGGCCTCTAAAATTTCACATCAAGGGGTCCCAAGAAAATGGTGTCAGGGATTTAGCTGTAGTGTTTGGGCATGTATGCTGACCTTGAAGAATTATTGGCAGAGTAGCCTCCTGCACCTGGGTCATCCTTTCATATCCAGCATCTTTGATGGCTTTGAGCGACAGTGGAGAAATAGCACATTGATCAAACCTGTGACATGCATAGCAGCTGACTATTAAGGCTACAGGATGATGGGTCCTACTTCCTCCATTCCAAATTATAAGACGTTTTGGTTTTTCTAGATAGTTTTTGTTATGCACTTACATATGCACTATGTCTAGATACATAACAAATGTATCTTAAAAAGCTAAAATGTCTTATAATTTGGAATGGAGGGAGTAATAGTTAGATGTACACACTAACAATGCAGCCAGCAATGTCATAACTGCAAGTCAAATCCAAAATAAGCTCCCAGTTCCAGATGAGGGACTGGAGATCTAACAAACAATACAGTTTACTGCAACACAGTGATAAATTTCTCGCCAAAAAAAATAGTGATGAATTATCGATTCTAGAACAAAAACAATACAGTTTACTGCAACTGCAACATAGTGACGAATTCTCGATTCTAGAACAAAGGAATAATGGGGAAAACAACAAAGAGAAATAAATTCGATCTTACTAACCTATGTTTTAGCAATAACCATGGAATCACAGCAACACTAATCCTCCGTTCCTAGTTCCAACAATCACGAGAGTATTTCAGTGCACATCCTCTAACCTAATTCGTGACGCAAGTAAGACATTACCGTGTCTCGGTGAGGTACGTGCCATCGACGCCACCTGCCTCGTGAGCGCTCCTATCAGCGTTCGACGCCGAACCCTCCACTCCATCAGCGCGCTGCTCACCGGCACCTCCTCCCCTGGTCGTGGCGGCGACCACCCTAGGGAACGCGGGTCCTTGCCTCGCGTCCCTCCGTGGCCCTTCGGCGCCCACCTCGTGGGCAACCATTGCCCCCACGGTGGCCACCATGGGGTACCCAGGGCCCTGCTTCGGCGGGCCCCTCCGCCGCCGCTTCGGCTTCGGGTTGGCGCTGGTCGACATGATCCGGCTGGCGAAGTCGGCGATGCTTGACCTACGGCGGGGTAGAAGTGCGGGCGTGCGGCGGCGGCGGCGGAAGGGAGAAATGACCCGCAATGAATTTTGGGACTTTGGGAGGGAGACCAGTATATAGACAACCCTAGACGGCGTACCTTTCTTTTCGTTCGTTTCTCAGAAACAGTTTGTCCGAGTTTCAAACTGAACACATGCCTTTCCCAAGTCAGGTTTGCTACTGAGATAGACAAAGTATATTTTTCTTGGCGATCTCTAGTAGAGACTCATACACGCGTACACAAACACGCACATTCATCAAGGGCGTGATTGGTCGTAGACAAGCCTTATGCCAGGATAGCCAGGCTATGCAGACCAAAGAAGCTGGGTTGGGCACGTGCAAGTGGTCGTGTTTGGTTATCTTTGCTGTTGGTCTAGTATAAGATGAGATTGTGTTTAGTTGCATACATGCATCAGTTTTTTAGGTGTCTGACGCAATAGGTCCCTGCATCCTAGGTAAATCAAGTCATCCTGTGCTATGAGGGAAGGAGAAATCCAAAAAACAGAGGCGTGCGAGATGGATGAGGGCAAACGAATGGAAAGATGCAGGCAAAAGATACGAGCAGGACAACCAAACACGACACAAGTGCACGGAGGGATGCAGGATGCCCTTCGGACGTCTTGCTCGGGCAACCAATCACCCCCCAATATACGAACGTATATCCCTTATTAGTATTTTTGAGAGCTCGGATCTCGAGATTAATAAAGTTATCATGTAAAAAGGTTGTTGTCAAAGGTCTCGTTTACTTCGCTGAAAAAAACAGCCGAAACACTGTTCCGGCTAATTTGTTACGAGAGAAAAATACTGTTCCGGTTGAAAAAACAAGCTGAAAAGTACGGATTATAAGACAAACGAACAAATAGGTTGATATATAAGTTATTATCAATATAGGTCAATATATAAAGTTATCTCTTTTGATTAAAAAAATAAAATGTTATGTTGAAATTTGAAGTTATCGTGATAACTTGCCTACGAAATTATGTAAAAATTGTATTGAACAAGTTACAATAAGAAGTTTTGGTGATTAGCTGTATTGAAAGAGGTATGGTAATGAGTTTGGTCTCGTAAAGGGTATAGTGCATTTTTTCCACCTTCAACTTGCACCGGATTCGATTTTAACCCTAAACTATGAAACCGGGTATGGTATAAACTATTTTAATATCTAAAAATTTACAACTTATTTATTTTAATTCAAAAAATTGTCAAACTACTATTTTTCCTAAAAAATATTTATTCTATTAGTACAGAAACAAGTTGTACTCCCGATTGGGAAACCTCTTCAGTCCCGGTTTCCCCACCGGGAGCACGAATCCGGGACTAAAGGGCCTCTCCTTTAGTCTCGGTTTCTCGTTCGGAACTAAAGGTCCTTTAGTTCCGGTTGGTAACACCAACCGGGGCTAAAGAGGCCTCCCGGCCTAGCCACGTGGGCCAGCCCCAACCGGGACTAAAGGTTTTCTTTTTTTCTTTTTTTTCTATTTTCAATTGATGATTCGTTTTGGTTTTCGAATAGCCTTTTGAAAACGCATTCTACGTTGCTAATAATATACGTATTCTACACGCTTATAATGTTCGAACATTTTGTACAAACTAAAGTATGAAACTAACGTATATATTACATGCATATACATATATTGTACGTTATTTTATGTACATATAATATATATATATATATATATATTATAAATAAAGCTTGCATTGTATATTCTATCATATCCTTGGATAACAAATTCACTCCAGGTTTGGCTTCCATATTTCGTTCATGTCATTGTAGAACTCGTCGGTGGGGTTTAAGACCTGGTCATTAAGAAATCCTGCTATGGTCTCTTGAATTGCTTTCAATTGGTCACGTCGTATGACTTTTTCCTTCAACCATTGAGTCTTCAATAAAAGTTAAAGGAAAAGTATTAATATATATATATATATATATATATGTTGGTCACGTGATTACTTATATATATGAGCAATAAAAGAAATTGTGAATATATGAATATATTTATATAACGTACTTTAAGGATCTCTTCAGGGGTTCTTTTTTAGTACTCCATGATGAACTCGTAAGCATAGTATCCGCAGTAGTTGTTTCCCTGTTCCTGCCTCAGAACCCACTTTTACGAGAAAAAAGATCCGGTGAATTGAAAGCATGCATGGTGTTAATTGAATTATATATATATATATATATAAATGTAGCTAGTACTTACTTTGTGTGCGATTACATCCAGTGGTGCTTTGCAATGTTTCATGTGGTGTTCCTCAATGAAACTTTTCCAAACACTGCGTCCAATAAAATAAAAAATTAATTTGGCCTTTAATAATTATTGCAGTTAAGAGATCGGGGTATATATAGTTGCTAGAGAGATCAAATTACCCTTGGATAATATCTATCATGTCTTGGTACTCTGTTTACTCTTTTCTTAACGAGTCTAAGATACTCAACCGACTATTGGCCATATCGATGACCATCAATATCCAGTGATTGTTGCATATGTTTTTATATACAAATATGATCGACATTAACTAGAGTCAACATATATATATATATGGGAGATAGCTTAGCTAGTAAGCAAATAATTGAACAAATATCCATATGATCGACATTAATTATTTAACACTCACTTGAAGTTGTAGGGGAAGAGTATGTCCTTGTTTTGTTGGTTCACTAAGAACCTCATGAGATTTTTCTCGAGTTTAGCTTTCCATTCAGGCGGGGGATTAGGGTGTTTGAATAAGATATTTGGATCAACGAAACCAACATCATTATCCTTTCTCTTTCTGAATTCTGTCATCTCATATCTGCATATATAAAAATATAGTGTGAGGATATATAATTTATATATATACATGTAGATTTATATATATACACTTTAATAGTAGAAAATAATCACATTTACAGACAATAGCAGCTAATGAGACTTTTGTCGAGAGAGTCCAGTGGCATAGTTGGTGTAATTCTAAAAACTCGATATATATAACGTCATCGCCACAGAAGTAATGTTGGTTTCTAACTCTGACAGAAACAAAGGTCTCTCCCCATTCACATGTCGCCATGTACCACTTGTTTAGCAGGTATATTTGCGTACCCAGTTCACCTAAGGCCTCAGGGTTGTATAGACTCTTTCTATGTTCAAATTTCTTCCAAGAATCCACTTTCGGAGCAGATGGTCCTTCAGCGAGCAAGGTCCAAACCAGTATCCTCGTAAAACCGAACTAGGTCCTCAAAATCGACATCCAGTAAGTCTAAGTTTGAATCATATTCATTACGAATGACAAGAGGGGGGACTGATTGTTGCGATTGTTGTCCGAGTTGTGCTAAAGATACTCATGTCTCTCATGATCAAATGGTGGTACAAGCACAAGATGTTGATGCTCCACAACCTCCCTCTCAAGTGGTTGATAGAAGAAATTCACCTCTACTACAAGCTCATCCACAAGATCTCATCATAGGGAGTCCTTCAAAGGGTGTAATGACTCGATCTCAAAAACTTGCTTCTTTTATTGAACATCACTCTTTTGTCTCTTGTGTTGAACTTAAGAATGTAGAAGAAGCTCTTCAAGATTCGGATTGGATAAATGCCATGCATGAAGAGTTGAACAACTTCTCTCGCAATGAAGTTTGGACTCTTGAAGAGCGACCACAAGGTGCAAGAGTCATTGAAACAAAGTGGGTGTTCCGCAACAAGCAAGATGATCAAGGCGTTGTTGTGAGGAACAAGGCAAGCCTAGTTGCAAAGGGGTTCTCTCAAGTTGAAGGATTGGATTTTAGAGAGACCTTTGCACTGGTTGCAAGACTTGAAGCCATTCGTATCCTCCTTGCATATGCATCACATCATGAAATGAAATTATTTCAAATAGATGTTAAAAGTGCATTTTTAAATGGCTTTATAAATGAACTAGTCTATGTTGATCAACCTCCTGGGTTTGAAGACCCTAGATATCCTAATCATGTTTATAAGTTGTCTAAGGCGCTATACGGGCTTAAGCAAGCCCCAAGAGCTTGGTATGAGCGCCTTCGGGATTTCCTCATTGATAAGGACTTCACCATTGGGAAGGTCGATATCACACTATTCACCAAGAAGCTTGATGATGATATCTTTATTTGTCAAGTATATATTGATGATATCATATTTGGATCATTAAATGAAGATTCTTGCAAAGAGTTTGATGAATTGATATCGAAGGAGTTTGAGATGTCAATGATTGGAGAGCTTACATTCTTTCTTGGTTTTCAAGTCAAGCAAATGAGAGAAGGGATTTTCATCTCTCAAGAAAACTATACCAAGGATCTTATCAAAAGGTTCAATATGGATGAATGTAAGCCAATCAAGACACCAATGTCATCTAATGGACATCTCAACCTAGATGAGAAAGATAAAACGGTTGATCAAACTCTCTACCACTCTATGATTGGTAGCTTGTTATATTTGACCGTATCTAGGCCCGACATCATGTTTAGTGTGTGTATGTGTGCTAGATTTCAAGCTAATCCTAAGGAAGCTCATTTGGTAGCCGTTAAAAGAATCCTTAGGTACCTTAAGCACACACCAAGCATTGGTCTTTGGTATCCTAAAGAAACTAGATTTTAATTAGTTAGCTATTCCGATTCGGATTATGCTGGTTGCAAAGTTGATAGAAAAAGTACATCCGGAGGGTGCCATTTGCTTGGTAGATCACTTATGTCTTGGTCCTCTAAGAAGCAAAATAGTGTGGCTTTGTCCACCGCAGAAGCAGAATACATTGCCGTGGGTGCTTATTGTGCACAAATACTTTACATGAGACAAACTTTGCTAGACTATGGTATAGCTCTAGAAAAGGTATCTCTTTTGTGTGACAATGAGTGTGGTAAAGCTTGCTAATAATCCGGTTCAACACTCTCGCACCAAGCACATAGATATCTGCCATCACTTTCTTAGAGATCATGTTGCTAAAAATGATATTTCACTAGAAGGTGTAAGGA